AACCTTCTAGACTTACAGAGGGTCGAAGCACTGGTATTCCGAGCCTTTCGATACCGAGATTTTGTCCCACCAGTCCCCATTAACCCAAATCTATCCCACATTTTTCTTATCTTACAGAGCAGGACGCAGACCTCCAGACTGAGCCATAATGGAGGGTTTCTTGGCGCCCTTGCTGTAGTTTAAGTGATGTGGGGTTTATTAACTTGTATGTTTGCTTTCCAAAAGTTAGGTTTGGATTGAGCAGACGCGTGTTCAATTTTGACAATTCTATAAAAGTCAAAGTTTAGCACTGAATGATCACTTTCACCTAGGGGTGGCATGTAATCGAGGTTCTGGAAGTCATCTTCATAATGGGTCAATGTAAGATCCAGTAAAGATGATCCGGAGTTCGGGTCGTACCTAATCGCATCTTTCACGTGTTGCACTAGGGCACATGTGACAACCGCAGATTTTTCCAGTCTACCATGGGTGCATTAAAACTCCTAGTATTAGGCATCGAACGCTTTGTGACCAAGTATTGAGACTTTAACAAGACTTCATTTACCTCACAGCTTGGACTGCGATACACCAAACCAATCAGCTACTCTTGTCGCTTGTATTTCAAGCGGCAACTAACTAACCCACACGTCCCACTCTCATGGGATACACTGTCGATCATGGCAAATGGGATAGCATTACTAATGAATAGAGCTACTCCCCCTCCTTACGGCAAGGTATAAACGGTAATCCCTTTCAAATCTGTCCGCCGTTTCGTTTCAACGACCTTGAACGCGCTGACTGGAAGCGGGCATTCCGTATTTCAATTGCCGTGTGTGTGTTGGGTCCTATGAGTATTAAATGTTTCCATATATAAGTCATCTTTTGATGCATAATAAACACTAAATAACTGCTAAGAGCATTAACTGAGTATTTTCTGTTTTGTAGTGCACACTTTAGCTCTGTTGTTCCTTCGAAACTTGATCTGTGGTCCTAAGTGCTGTAGTGAAAGTCAACAGCTATATATAATTTGTTGATAAGGTCCAGAAAACAACGTAAGAAAGATAAAATAACGTAAAAGGTTATAGATGCGCATAGTTTTTGTGAGTTAAGACGAAATGTCAACTGAAGGGTAAGTCCTAAATATTTGTTGTTCTTCCTTCAGTTAATTTTTTTCAAGGAATAACCTTTTTTTAACAGCTATTGTATGTTGTCTCTAGTGCTTCATGCTCAAGTGAAATTTCAGTGAACGTAAGCGACGCGTTCCAACGTATTATGCTGAATAAGAGATTCGGAAGCTGGATTGAATTAGATAATGCGCTAAAGGATTTCCATAAAGTATGATGGGATAAATCTATGTTTTCTCAGATGACCCATACACACTATGTTCACGCAGAAAGTAGATTGTTGAAGGATGTGAGATATAAATACTTGTTCGTAGTGTTTCGTTGCACGTTTGGTCGTAAACGTAAATCAGAAGGTCTGAATGTGATTAAAAAACCGTGAGGACTCTAACTAATGTGTTACCTTTAAGGTCTAAATTTTTAAATTGCCAATCGATGTTTCGCGTAAGATTGGAGGGTCAACAATACGTTATAAAATCTTACAACATGACTCACAACCATCCGTGTACTAGTTCGTGGATGGTTTGTGATCCGTTGAGTAGACGATTGTCATCAGAAGAAAAAGAAAACTTGAAACCAGTTATATTGCACTGTCAGTCGACGGACGAAGTTATCGAAAGTATTAAGGAAAGAACAGGTAAGCAGGTGACCGCTGCTGATGTCAAAAATATGAAAGCTGAACTCTCCACTGGTAAGTGTATATAAATATATTTCAGGTTGGACTCGGAAGCAGGTATTGCAGATGATGCGACAAAACGGTCAAGTTAGAGAGCATGCAGAAAATGGATCTATTACGGCGGTATGCTTCAGCAGTTATGATCAGATACGGCTGTACAATCAATATCCCGAAGTCGTGTGTATTGATTCTACTTATAAAACTAATAATAAAAAGTGAATATGATTTTCGTTTTGTTCTACTATGTAGGTATTCATTATTCCAGTTAGTGGTAACAGACAATTGGGGTCGAGGTCGAACTGTTATGTTTGCATGGACAAAAAAAGAAAAGCGTGCTGATGTTACGTGGATTTTGGATAAATTCAAGGAGATAATGGGTAACACGACCAAAACAGAAACATTTGTGATGGATTGCGCACGATCTGAAAGCGCGGCTGTCCGTATAACACACGGGCATGCAAACATTATTTTGTGCGCCTTTCATGTGATTCGCGCTTTCCGGAAAAAGGTACACCAATGGTTGGTTACATAAAATTTCTTTTAGACAAATGATAAAATACTAAAAACCTACTTGACTCGACTGGTAACCGCAGAAACGGTCGGAAGGTAATTTTTTAATGTATTTATTCACTAGATTTAATCAATATTACAGAATAATAAACCGCAGAGACAGTGATAGGCCAGTACCTATCACGTTTCTGGATGCCACGTAAAACAATGTGGGCGCGTGCCTTTTACGGCAGTGTATTAACTTTGGGTAACAACACGAATAATCGTGTTGAGTCATTAAATAGGCAGATTAAAAGATATGTACGCAAAAGCGACAGCTTGCACAAATGCATGTACAAGGCTTTTAAGTGGAGTTCAATGACATTCTCTAGAAAAAGCATGGAAGACCAAATAATCAGTGGACGAACATACAATTATGATGCTCCACAGCGTCTTATACCCTTGCTGAACATGTTGACCCCATTCGCAAGATCCAAAGTGTTATACGAACTAAAAAAAATGCGTTTCGTTAACTTAGAATATGAAAGCGGCGAGTGGTTGTTTATGCTTGACCGCGGACAACATTACGAAGTAGATGTAAGTATTTGTGAATGCATTGTAGCACGTTTAATATGTGTCGATATCCGTGCCGCCATCTCCTGCTGGCATATATTAAAAGACGAAGTCTAACAGGTAAGCTATTTAAATTATAAAATATAAACTGCATAGCTCATCAACTTCTTAGGTGTTGCTGTAGATGGAAATTAGACAATACGCACAATTTACAAAACAACACAGTAATTTCATTACGGAGACGAAGTAAAGAATATATATATATATTATGTGCAAACAACGAATTGTTGAGAAATATGGTGAACGCTTCGCGAATCAGGTGGAGAGAAGGGTCTACAATTTTTACTTAAGAATTATAAACAGCTAGACAGCAGGTTTACGATTAACAGTTCTTTGTGGCTTTATTTTATACCACTATTTATACAACTTGTAAACTTATCTTTCCACTTTAGTAGTCATGAAAATCAATAAACTTTTTCTCATTTTTTATTTTCGTCTTCTTCATACTTTCATGGGGAGGTTTACCAATCGCTTTAACGAATAATTGTGTGTGAAAATTAAGAATTTGTACTACTGTATTAGTTACGAACTGTCGTTAGAACTTAGCGTTATATCGTTGTTCATTGTCAGGAATCAATGAGTCAAATAAAACAATAATGCGACTTCCACGTAAAACCTTACAGGTTAAACAACCGCCTTACATATTTTCCGTTGTCAGATTACGTCCATTATCAAGTTAGTATTAGTATGGAACTAGACAATTTCATGCAGCTAGTTCCTTGATAAGATGGATTACGTAATCCTTAGACCACCCTTCCACTCACACTTCTTTGCTAAATTATGTTAACTCTTCAGATTGTCTTCACTTATCTTATTAGTTCTTAATTCAATGATTTATTCATTACATCTAGAATTTCATGCAATTGGTTCCCTTTATGAATTTAAATAGAGCAAGAACAAACATTGATGCAGAATAGTATGAATTCATATTATTTCGAGGTTTCTCGTCAGCTGCTTACAAACCAAAAATTGTGATAGAATTTTTACATGGAGATAGTGTGAAACAATTGACAGAAATGAGTGTAAATAACGTGATATATATAATTATTGTAATCACGTTATTTACACTCATTTCTGTCAATTGTTTCACACTATCTCCATGTAAAAATTCTATCACAATTTTTGGTTTGTAAGCAGCTGACGAGAAACCTCGAAATAATATGAATTCATACTATTCTGCATCAATGTTTGTTCTTGCTCTATTTAAATTCATAAAGGGAACCAATTGCATGAAATTCTAGATGTAATGAATAAATCATTGAATTAAGAACTAATAAGATAAGTGAAGACAATCTGAAGAGTTAACATAATTTAGCAAAGAAGTGTGAGTGGAAGGGTGGTCTAAGGATTACGTAATCCATCTTATCAAGGAACTAGCTGCATGAAATTGTCTAGTTCCATACTAATACTAACTTGATAATGGACGTAATCTGACAACGGAAAATATGTAAGGCGGTTGTTTAACCTGTAAGGTTTTACGTGGAAGTCGCATTATTGTTTTATTTGACTCATTGATTCCTGACAATGAACAACGATATAACGCTAAGTTCTAACGACAGTTCGTAACTAATACAGTAGTACAAATTCTTAATTTTCACACACAATTATTCGTTAAAGCGATTGGTAAACCTCCCCATGAAAGTATGAAGAAGACGAAAATAAAAAATGAGAAAAAGTTTATTGATTTTCATGACTACTAAAGTGGAAAGATAAGTTTACAAGTTGTATAAATAGTGGTATAAAATAAAGCCACAAAGAACTGTTAATCGTAAACCTGCTGTCTAGCTGTTTATAATTCTTAAGTAAAAATTGTAGACCCTTCTCTCCACCTGATTCGCGAAGCGTTCACCATATTTCTCAACAATTCGTTGTTTGCACATATATATATATATATTCTTTACTTCGTCTCCGTAATGAAATTACTGTGTTGTTTTGTAAATTGTGCGTATTGTCTAATTTCCATCTACAGCAACACCTAAGAAGTTGATGAGCTATGCAGTTTATATTTTATAATTTAAATAGCTTACCTGTTAGACTTCGTCTTTTAATATATGCCAGCAGGAGATGGCGGCACGGATATCGACACATATTAAACGTGCTACAATGCATTCACAAATACTTACATCTACTTCGTAATGTTGTCCGCGGTCAAGCATAAACAACCACTCGCCGCTTTCATATTCTAAGTTAACGAAACGCATTTTTTTTAGTTCGTATAACACTTTGGATCTTGCGAATGGGGTCAACATGTTCAGCAAGGGTATAAGACGCTGTGGAGCATCATAATTGTATGTTCGTCCACTGATTATTTGGTCTTCCATGCTTTTTCTAGAGAATGTCATTGAACTCCACTTAAAAGCCTTGTACATGCATTTGTGCAAGCTGTCGCTTTTGCGTACATATCTTTTAATCTGCCTATTTAATGACTCAACACGATTATTCGTGTTGTTACCCAAAGTTAATACACTGCCGTAAAAGGCACGCGCCCACATTGTTTTACGTGGCATCCAGAAACGTGATAGGTACTGGCCTATCACTGTCTCTGCGGTTTATTATTCTGTAATATTGATTAAATCTAGTGAATAAATACATTAAAAAATTACCTTCCGACCGTTTCTGCGGTTACCAGTCGAGTCAAGTAGGTTTTTAGTATTTTATCATTTGTCTAAAAGAAATTTTATGTAACCAACCATTGGTGTACCTTTTTCCGGAAAGCGCGAATCACATGAAAGGCGCACAAAATAATGTTTGCATGCCCGTGTGTTATACGGACAGCCGCGCTTTCAGATCGTGCGCAATCCATCACAAATGTTTCTGTTTTGGTCGTGTTACCCATTATCTCCTTGAATTTATCCAAAATCCACGTAACATCAGCACGCTTTTCTTTTTTTGTCCATGCAAACATAACAGTTCGACCTCGACCCCAATTGTCTGTTACCACTAACTGGAATAATGAATACCTACATAGTAGAACAAAACGAAAATCATATTCACTTTTTATTATTAGTTTTATAAGTAGAATCAATACACACGACTTCGGGATATTGATTGTACAGCCGTATCTGATCATAACTGCTGAAGCATACCGCCGTAATAGATCCATTTTCTGCATGCTCTCTAACTTGACCGTTTTGTCGCATCATCTGCAATACCTGCTTCCGAGTCCAACCTGAAATATATTTATATACACTTACCAGTGGAGAGTTCAGCTTTCATATTTTTGACATCAGCAGCGGTCACCTGCTTACCTGTTCTTTCCTTAATACTTTCGATAACTTCGTCCGTCGACTGACAGTGCAATATAACTGGTTTCAAGTTTTCTTTTTCTTCTGATGACAATCGTCTACTCAACGGATCACAAACCATCCACGAACTAGTACACGGATGGTTGTGAGTCATGTTGTAAGATTTTATAACGTATTGTTGACCCTCCAATCTTACGCGAAACATCGATTGGCAATTTAAAAATTTAGACCTTAAAGGTAACACATTAGTTAGAGTCCTCACGGTTTTTTAATCACATTCAGACCTTCTGATTTACGTTTACGACCAAACGTGCAACGAAACACTACGAACAAGTATTTATATCTCACATCCTTCAACAATCTACTTTCTGCGTGAACATAGTGTGTATGGGTCATCTGAGAAAACATAGATTTATCCCATCATCTTTATGGAAATCCTTTAGCGCAAATCTAATTAATCGCAGCTTCCGAAT